ACTTATATTAAAGTTTTTCTTCATTACCCATTCAAGCCGTCTCCAGACATTATTTTATGTCAGTAAAGCTTGGCCAAAAAAATAAAAATAAATAGAAAATAATAGATGGAAATAAGTTTAGTTTTAGAATTATAAACTAGATGGCTCTATCTTCAATTAGTACACGGGGTGCGTTTTTGTTCATTTCTGCAGGTAGAAAATATACTTTTAGAAACATCTGACGGCGCCCCCTACTGGCAAAGCGGTATGTCTGCGGACTTGCAACGCTAGAATCCTGGTTTCGATAACCATGGTGGGAAGAGCACAGATAGCCCGTTGTGTAGCTTTGTGCTTAATTACAAACATCTGACGGAGACCTAACGCAGTCATAGAATATATGATGTTTTTCAAAAATTCTTATTAATGAAATAAGTTAGCTCACAATATGAACTACAGAAAAAATCTTAATGAATAATTTTAATTTAGAAAGCAAAGAAAAGCAAAGTGTGAAGAAATGCATAAATTATAACCCTTTTTTATGTTATTCAAATACTAGGCCTTAAAATTTTATTTTATCCTGATTATCTCCCTTTATGTCAAAACATTTTGTTTCCATTTGTTCAGATATTAGCTCGTGTTATTTACTTTTTCGATTATATAAAATGAAAATCCTGTGAAGCTCTAAGAATGACAGAAACTTTCTTACTCCTAAGTTTTTCTTTTGTTTTTGACCAATAAAATTTTCCACCAAAGATATATAAGAACACGGAAATCAATAAGTTATAAAATAGTTTTAAATCAAATTGAAACACGTATTAGTTACATAGCCCGAGGGATTTTAGAAAGTGTCGAGTGTGAAAATAATTAAGTTATCTTCACTGGTGTGAAGTATGCATATTGTAGCCCGCCCTGTAAACAAGGAAGTGTTTGGGGGTTGGCTTTGAATAGGACAGATGCAGTGAATTTCATGCTAATGTGAGATTGATTTCCTGTGCATGTAAGACAGAGATAATAGTGTACGGTGGGGGGTCAGAGAAGAGTTAAAAAATTATAGATACATTTTGTAAGGATTTGTTTGTTTGTTTTGAATTTCGCGC